CAGAGTTTTCAAGCTGAGCCATGCTGGCTGAAGAATTCTGGGAGTTGAAGTCCACGAGTCATAAAAGAGCCAAGGTTGCCTACCCCTGGCCTAGTTCCTGCTGGTCTCAGTCTAATATTTAATCATTGCACTTCCCTGGATCTTGTTCCCTTTTACCCCACTTTACATAGAACATAGACTAATAGAATTGGAAGGGACCTTGGAGGTCTCCTAGTTCAATCCCCTAGACCAGGGGTAGGCAACCTCGGCTCTTTTATAACTCATGGACTTCAACTCCCAGCTATGCTGATTCAGGAATTCTGGGAGTTGAAGTCCATGAGTCATAAACCAGCCGAGGTTGCCTATCCCTGCCCTAGACCAGGGGTAGGCAACCTCGGCTCTTTTATGACTCGTGGACGTCAACTCCCAGAATTCCTGAGTCAGCTATGCTGGGAGCTATGCTGACTCAGGAATTCTGGGAGTTGAAGTCCACGAGTCATAAAAGAGCCAAGGTTGCCTACCCCTGCCCTAGACCACTTCAGTCTCTTTCTGAAAGTCTCCAGCGAGGGAGCACCCACAATTTCTGAAGGCAAGCTGTTCCATTGGTTGGTTGCTATCACCATTAGGAAATTTCTCCTCAGCTCCTTAGTTAATACTTATACTTAGTTAATACACTGCTGGTTGGTTAGCTCCTCAGTTAATGCTGTACACTGTGATTTAGCTCAAAGCTCAGAATGGCTCTCGGCCAACTCCACAGGAAGATCAGAAGATCTCCCATGTCTCCCTCTTCCCTTTCCTCTCTCTCTCTCTCTCTCTCTCTCTCTCTCTCTCTCTCTCTCTCTGTGTGTGTGTGTGTGTGTGTAGGACCGACCAAACGACAGACATGTCTGTCATACGCCATTACCATTAGAACAGAATCTTGTTCTTTTATTACATCTGAACTCTGCCAGATTTCACAGCAGGAATGCTAAGTGAAATCAATGTCTTGGGTTTCCAGTCTTAGCTTTGAGGTCACAGACACTCTATCATTTCTCCGTATTATCTCCTTGTTTCGCCCTCCCCTCCTCTTTCTCTCAACCTCCAACTGGCACACAGCAGATTGAAAACAGCATGAATCAGAGGGACTGTGCTGCACAATTTTACAGCCGTTTGGAGGCCCCCCCCTTCATTCAAACATGCACACACACAAACATGCATGCCACTCTTCTCTGCCTTCCTCTTTGCAGCTTAATTCTGCGACAGTCCCTTGACAGAATTGAAACTCCAGGGTACAAAAAAAAGGGGGATAGATTTTCCTCCCCCCAGAAAGGAAAAGAAGAGAAAGAGGAAAGACTGCGATGTATTTCTAGTAATTGTGCGTGGGGGGAAAAAAACCCCGCTTCCTTTCTGTTCACAGGTAGGCATTTGAGTTATCGTGAACATTATCAAGTCAATACTGTAATCACCAAATCCCCCAAATAAGGGCTAAAAGAAATATGACATGGTCTTTCTTTCTTTCTTTCTTTCTTTCTTTCTTTCTTTCTTTCTTTCTTTCTTTCTTTCCCTTATGTGGGCAACTAGGCCAAGTATTTGGATGGGTAGAGGTTTTTTTTCCTAGCAAAGTTTGGTGGAAGTTACTGGAACTCTCAGTATCTGCTAGCTGTAGGAGAGTTTGTCTGAGAAGAACATGTTCCCTCGACTGAGTCAGGGTCTTACCTGAGCTGCCTCTCCTTATTTTCTACACCAAATTTTAGATAGATGTATGTGTGTGTGTGTGTATGCATGTATGTTTATGTATGTATGTTCTCTCCCTCTGTTGTGTCCACAGGACATGGTTAAAAAGGCAAGATGGGGATTAAAGCTGTATAAAAATGGGCAGAGATTTATTTGTATCACTATTGTTGTTATCCTGATTTTTTAAAAAAACACACTCTGTGGAGGCTGCTAACTCCATCCATCCATCCATCATTCATTCATCTATTCTTTCTTCATCTATCCATCCATCCTCCATCCTCAATCCATCCATTCTTCATCTTCATCCATCCATCCATCCATCCATCCATCCGTCATTATCCATCCAACCTCCATCATCATCCATTCATTCTCCATCTTGATCTATCCATCCATCCATCCGTCATCATCCATCCTTCCTCCATCATCTACCATCCATCTATCCATCCATCATCCTTCCATCCATCCACCCATCCATCCATCCATCCATCATCCATCCATCATCCATCCATGTCCATCCTTCATCCATCCATTCTCCATATTCATCCATCCATCCATCCATCCTCCCTCCATCCATCCATCCATCCATCCATCCATCCATCCATCCATGCATGTCCATCCTCCATGCTCCATCCATCCATTCTCCATATTCATCCATCCATCTATCCATCCTCCATTCATCCATCCTCCATCCATCCATCCATGCCCATTCTTCATCCTCTATCCATCCATTCTCCATTTCCATCCATCCATCCATCCATCCATCCATCCATCCATCCATCCATCCATCTCACTGACTATCTGTCTCTCTTATATCCCAAGGCCAATCGTACAGCAAAGATCTTGCATGGATTGACCCCATATTTTTGCCCAATACAGAAAATAGATATACAATAAGCAGCTTCTCTCCCAGTGGGCTATACTGAGAGACACTTGCTAAGAGGAAGGAAGCCAGCTAGCATTGGTCCTTTCTCAGAACAACTACTGTAAATGCTCACATATGAAAGATGCCCTTTTTTTCCACACACAAAAGCTCTTGCAGATGTAGCAATATGAAGTCCTGGACAAAAGCTGCTCCTTCTTTGCCACACTTCTTGAACTGATCATGGAAACATGTGCCATCATTTTCACATGGCCATTCCACCAAATATAGATCGTGATCATTAAATGAAGCAGAGACTGTGCTTATGAGCTTATGTCAGCTTTCCTTTGCTTTACAGACCTGCAAAGGTTGTCTATGTAAGAATTTCTTGAAAAGTTACTTTTTCATCATCATGGTAACTGCAAGCAGTCACTAAATGAGGCAGTCACTAAATAAGGACTATCAGCATTTCAAAATGTAAGTTGGTTCTGAAGACAGTCCTGGGCTGCTCCAAATGGATTATATTTCTTACGGAAACAAATATATTTAGGACCATCTCTTACCTGATACTCGTTTTTGAAAATGTATGTCTAGATATTAAATTATCTGAACCCAAACACATCATAATAAAACTGTAACCTCTGCACACTCTATTGATTCACTCTGCACACACTTTTTTTAAAAAAGCAAATTCATTTTGACCTGTTCTGTATCACTTTGCAAATATTTTGTTTAAGATTCATGTGGAAATCAGTATGCGTTTCTAGTTCCAATTTCTTCTTCCGAGTTTCTCTGTGTATGTGTGTATGCATACATCCACTCATAGATGCAGTTTTCTATATTGTTCTTTTGTACCCAGTTTTCCTAAATCATTCAGCCTGTCTAGTTAATTGGTAATAACCTTATCCTGAAGAAGAAAAATGGAAGAATAAAATCATGTTTTTCAGAAACCTAAAAGGCTATAATATAGGGAAAAAAACAAACAGTTGTTCTATCCCAGAAGTGTGAATTAAATTTAACTGGAGTTAAGTTACAGAAAGATACATGTTAGTAGAACATCAGGGGGGAACATCTGGATGATAAGAGCAACTTGACCTTGCCAATTACCTGAAGGCTATTAAGGTCTATTTTGATGGAAGACCAAAAGTAGACTTGAAGAATTATCCATCTTGAATGCTTTAATTCTGGATTTCCTGACTAAAGCAGATGCTGAATAAGTGAGTTTATAAGCCCTGCTTCAACTGCATGATGTAGGGAATCCATACAATGCAAAATCCATATTTTTGTGCAAATAGAAGTTGCAATAGGTGTTTTAGTCATTTCTAATAACTGCTATTCTATTGGTGTCAGCTGCCACCTCATGCCTGCCTATGTTTCATAGTATTCAGTGACAGACTGCCATGAACTCTGGGGTGGGTGGGGGGGAAATGTAATAGGGAAGGCTTAGGGGAAAATGAAAGTATGTACTGTATCTCCTCAAGAAGCTGCTTCAGGGTCATCTGGAACATGAGCTGCATACCAAACTATGCCTAGACTGTCCATTATGAAAACATTGCCTGAACCCCATTGGTTGCTTGGGGGTAGGTAGTGGGAAGTAGCAAAGCGGGGGGGGGGAGTTGACCTTAGGGATTTTGGCGTGCGATTCTCAGTTCTGGCTTTGCATTACTGCAATACACTAGACTTCTAATAAAATTATACTTTCTCAACAAATGGAGCTAAGGATCATTTATATTTAGGAGTTTAAGCTGTGGCAGGTCTGACAACCGGTATTCAAATAGCTATAACCTTTCCATTCTTCCTGAATTAGAAGAGAAGAGAAGAGAAAATATGGAATAGAATAGAATAGAATAGAATAGAATAGAATAGAATAGAATAGAATAGAAAATATGGAATGGAATAGAATAGAATAGAATAGAATAGAATAGAATAGAATGGAATGGAATGGAATGGAATGGAATGGAATGGAATGGAATGGAATGGAATGGAATGGAATAGAATAGAATAGAATAGAATAGAAAATATGGAATGGAATAGAATGGAATGGAATAGAATAGAATAGAATAGAATAGAATAGAATAGAATAGAATAGAATAGAATAGAATAGAATAGAATAGAACAGAATAGAATAGAATGCTTTATTGGCAAAGTGTGATTGGACACACAAGGAATTTTTCTCTGGTGCATAAGCTCTCAGTGTACATACAAACAACAAGGTAATATAATCATAAGATACCAATAGGAGAAGGTAGTAGAAAAGATGAGAAGGATAATAGTAATACAGCCATACTACATGGGTAAGTCTCCTTAGACATAAGACTAAGACATAAGTCTTATAAAACCTTATAAGACACATGACCTGATTTATTTTCATTTATAGCATGGAAAAATCCCATTCATATGCAACAGGTACTTTACGACAAAGCCAGGCAGGTGAATCTTAAAGCATTACCTTGGTTTTGGGTGGTGGGCTGATTGCGATCTTGTCAGTGTGAATATTAGTCGGCGATACTGCTGCACCAATGTTGCTTTGGGAGATGCCGGATATCTTTCCACCAGGAGATACTTGCATGGCTGCAAGTTGCGCAGCATATAATTGCTGCAAGACAACAACAGAAGCTGATCAGATACAGAAGCTATCCCAGCTCAGACATCCTCTTCTGAACCAACCCCCCCTTTTAAAACATAGATAGTCCTCAACTTACAACCATTCATTTAACGACTGTTCAAAGCCATGACAGCCCTGGAAAAAGGGACTTCTGACCGGTCCCTGCACTTACGACCGTCACAGCAATCGTGTGGCCACATGATAAAAATCCAGGTTGTTGGAAACTGGCATGTATTTACAACACTGGAGCATCCCAGGGTCATGCGAACGCCATTTGCAAACTTCCCAGGAGGCCTTCAATAGGCAAAGTCAATGAGGGAAACAAGATTCACTAAATGACTGTGGCCAAAATGGCAGTAAAATAGGGCACGACTTACTTAGCGACCACATTGCTTAGCAATCAAAGTTCCAGTCCCAACAGTGGTTGTACGTTGAGGGCTACCTCTATACTACTAGATCAGGAATGGAACTATGGCCCCTTCATGACTTGTGGACTTCAACTCCCATAATTCCTGAGCCAACCATGCTGGCTCAGGAATTCTGGGAGTTGAAGTCCACAAGTCAGGAAGGGGCCGTGTTTCCCCACCTCTGTACTAGACAGATACAGATCTGGCTGGCTCAGGCATTCTGGGAGCTGAAGTCCACAAGTCATGAAGGGGCCATGTTTCCCCACCTCTTTACTAGACAGATACAGATCTGAGCTGATGATGGAAGTTGCAACATCTTACAAGTGTTGGGATTTCAGATCACAAGGTGCAATTTTTTTTATTATAATTAGCTGTACAGAGGAAGAAGAAAACTGAAGGGAAGCTTGCTGGGAAGGGGTGAAAAAAATCTTTATTTGCTGATGTTTATTTAGGCATTTCAGATACCGATATCCCTCCTTTTTATCCATATGGAACCATAAGGCAGTTGACAGTCACAGAAAAGCACAACAAAAACAACAGCTGAGACAAACAAACAAACAAACGACAATGTGAAGAAGCAACACCCAAGAAAAACCGAAAAAGAAACTACATTCAGCACTAACTGAAATCTTGGTTTTTGCCTTTTGGGGGAATTATAGAAGAGCAGCTGCAATATTCAGATTATAGTGTAACTGGTGAGGCTCAACAGACCTTCTAGAGCAGACATGTCAAACTCGTAACGTAACGTGACGTTGTGCGACGTATCGGAGCTTTTTCGCCATTGCCGGCAATGGGGTGGGCGCGGTTCCGGTATGATGAAACCAGCCCGTGGGCTGGCAGTTTGCTAACCCTGTTCTAGAGAATTCTTTATTAAGTTGGCATCTAAAAGCCATCGAGAAAACAGTACATTAAATTTTTCTGGAGAAATTCCACGGTACTGAGAGAAGAGAATATTTGTACCTCGGGGTGAACTGTGGGATCCTTTGTGTTCTCTGAGCTTGGTTTTCTTGCAGACATTTCAATACCAAACTTGGTAACATCATCAGTGCTAGTAACGGAATGGGGTTTGCTCTCCCTACTCCCTTACCAGCACTGATAGTGTTACCTAGTTTGCTAATGAAGTGTCTGCAAGAAAACCACCAAACTCAGAGGGAACCAAAGACCCCACAAATTCCATAGTCAATATCCTACTATTGAAAAGAGCCTATGTTGCACAGCCATCCAGTGCCCTGGGAATATGAAGGAGATCCACTAAAGGGAGGGCAGATTCACTTAACAACTATGTTACTAACTTAACTGCAGTGATTCACTTAATAACTGTGGCAAGAAAGGTCGTAAAATGGGACAAAATTCACTTAACAAATGTCTCGCTTAAAGGACATTTGGGACTCAACTGCGGTATATGTTAAGGATTACCGTGCTTGAAAATTGGTTAAGCCAAACATGCTATATAGTTGGACTTTTCCTACTAATTCTAGAGTAGGCATCCAATAGTCCCACTGGGAGTCACTCGGTATTCTTAATTTCATTCCATTTTCTTTGTAAGATCAATTACTTTTCCAAAGCTACCTTGTTAGTTAATGTAAAATCATAATTTGCGGAGACATTTTGATGTTTTAAGCCCTTCCATTTGCAAAATCGTAACTCTTGCAAGCAGCGGTCTTCTGCATGCTGATTTGGAAGTACAACTCTCTGCAAATGGCAGCCACATGCATAAAAACTTGGGGGGAGGTTTTGCTCACATATTTTAAAACTGAAACTTGGTTGAGATGAGAGGGGACAGAAATTATAGCCAGGTGCTAAAATGTGCTAAAGCTTAATGATTAAATACTTAAAGCAACATCAATATTTAGTTCAGCTTCCACTCACTTGGAAATCTTTTTAATATGGCTAATCTTATTTTGTAGGATGACCCACTATGTGTCAGATGCAAAAGACCAGGTTCACACATGAAGGTCCAATTAAATTAATTTATTGATAAAAAGTCTATGCATAAGAATCTTCTCAACTAGGGACAGCTCCTGCTTACAGTTAGATAACAGGTTCAATGGAATTCAAGGGGGATTGGACTTCGTTTATAGCCACGTAGGGATTCTAGGCTGGTCCCTCTTTTAACTCTGACTCCAGGTTCCGCCACTCCTTCTCTTTTTGTCTGAAATGTTACAGGGTTTCCTGCCTGAGCAGGGGATTGGACAAAAAGATCTCAAAGGATCCTTCCAACTCTGCTATTCCATTATATTCTCACATCATGCCCTGTAAAACTTGGGATGGTGTTTAGCTCACTGAAAGTTGCACACCCTGCAACTGGAATGCAACTTCATTCAGAGAAAAGTTATGAAACCTCTTGAAACAGACCGTCCAATCACCGACAAAACTTCTGTCTTCTCATTTATTTATTAGATTTTCATCTGGCTCTTGTTATAAGTAGCTCAATGCAGCCAACATACATAATGCTTCCTCCTTTTATTTCCCCCATGACAATCACCCTGTAAGGCAGGGGTCTTCAAACGTGGCCCTTTTATGACTTGTGGACTTCAACTCCCAGAATTCCTCAACCAGGCATGCTGGCTGAGGAATTCTGGGAGTTGAAGTCCACAAGTCCAGGGATCTTCAAACTTGGCCCTTTTATGACTTGTGGACTTCATCTCCCAGAATTCCTCAGCCAGGCATGCTGGCTGAGGAATTCTGGGAGTTGAAGTCCACAAGTCCAGGGGTCTTCAAACTTGGCCCTTTTATGACTTGTGGACTTCATCTCCCAGAATTCCTCAGCCAGGCATGCTGGCTGAGGAATTCTGGGAGTTGAAGTCCACAAGTCCAGGGGTCTTCAAACTTGGCCCTTTTATGACTTGTGGACTTCATCTCCCAGAATTCCTCAGCCAGGCATGCTGGCTGAGGAATTCTGGGAGTTGAAGTCCACAAGTCATAAAAGGGCCAAGTTTGAAGACCCCTGCTGTAAGGTGAGTTTGGCTGAGAGAGAGAGAGTAACAGCTGCAAAAAAAGATTGTAAAATCAGGCAGGGTCACATGGTAATCTGCTTAATAAACGCTATGACTTATGACGACCGAAATTTCAGGCTCAATGATGGTCATAAGTCAAGGACTGCCTGTAAGTAAGTGCACAAACACCACACCGTCTCCATAGAACATTTGATTCGTGAAAGAAATATCAAAACAAATTCAGAAAGAGAGAGAGAGAGAGAGAGAGAGAGAGAGAGAGAGAGAGAGAGAGAGAGAGGGAGGGAGGGAGGGAGGGGAGAAAAAAAGAGAGAGAAAGGAAGGAAGGAAGAAAGAAAGATAGAAAGAAAGAAAAAAGAGAGAGGAAGGAAGGAAGGAAGGAAGGAAGGAAGGAAGGAAGAAAGAAAGAAAGAAAGAAAGAAAGAAAGAAAGAAAGAAAGAAAGAAAGAAAGAAAAAAAAACATGCCCCTTCTTCTCTTCCAAAGGAAATCTCAAAAATAAATGTTCTTAGATCAAACTGAACTGGACTTAAAAAATTACTGAAGAGTCTCTGTGCCCAGCACTAGTAGGAGATGTGAAGAAGCCAACCTGAAGCATTCTGCAAATAAACGAGGTGCTGTTCTAAAGTAAGGAAGCACCCCTGCATGATCTGCGAGTTGCATTTTTAGCAGCACATGGAATCAGAAAGAAAGGAGAGTGTGTGAATGAATCCTAAAGTGATTAAAAATATTAATTAATTAAAAAAACCCAACAGCAACCAAACCAGCATCTTATATCATGGCTCATTTACAGCGAGGCAGAACAATGCTCACGATACATAAAATTTACAGGGGTAGATTATTCAGGAGGACGTTGCGAGCAACTGCTTCAAGCTAGGTCCACGCACTTTCTTAAGATGCATCTTCTTGCCTGCTGGAGAAATACATAGCAACAGTACTTTGTCAAGTTGCTGCTACTTGGGGGAAGTGTAGGCCAAGGTAAAGGAGAAGGTAAACATTGCGTGGCAGCGTGTGCATACAAAAATGAAATATATGCCAACACTGTGCATTAGGCCATTATTTCAAGGAGAAAAAAGGTCAACAAAATCAGGCACCTCTGCTGAAGATACTACCTATTGTAATGCTAAGTAATACCGGGTTACACGCGATAATAAAGAGAGCAAGGACAAACATGCATCAACACGGTGCCCAATATTAAAATTCTGCACTGTTCCTGAGTGATCTTCTGTTAATGTTGGACGGCTAGTGTAAACGGTCAACGAAGGTTGAAGAGCATCCAACTGTGGAATGCTAAACAAAGCATACCATTTCCAAGGAGTTTGCAACAGCATTCCAAGGTGATTAAGGAAGATGCAAAGCAACAACAACGACAAAAATAAACGTTTAGCTTTTACAGTGGCTATCAAAAACATAAGAAGACTGAATGTGGAGTGTGTGGCCCTGACTCTGAATGATTATGGCTCCATTTATCCTGCAACCTCAGCTCTTTTATGACTCGTGGACTTCAACTCCCAGAATTCCTGAGCCAGCCATGAAAATGAAAAAGGTCTTCTGCAGTCACGACAGAAGCCTAAGACTGAAAATCAGGCTTGTCAGATGCTATATTTTTTCTATCCTGCTCTGTGGAGTAG